TTTGCTAGTCTTACTGGAGTGAGATGATATCTCATGGTTGTCTTGATTTGCATCTCTCTCAGGGCTAGGGATTTTGAACATTTCTTCATGTGCTTGTTGATGTTTGATCTTTTGGCAATGCATGGAATATTCAGTATTCTTCCCCAATACCACAATTCAAAGATAGCAGTTGTTCTTTGTCTTTCTTCATTGCCAGATTTCACTTGGTTATGAAGGAACTGAAAATACTTTGACTTGAGTCAGAAACACATTAGTCTGTAAGTTGACATCCTTGACAGTAGATTGTTCTATGTAACATGTCTTTTCCTATCTTGACTACTGCTACTGTGGATGTTAATTGTGGATCCAAGTGAAAAGAAATCCTCCCTAACTTTAATCTTTACATCTAATCATGATAATTGCCTATTGATCCATTTGTGATGATTTTGTTTTCTTGATGTTGAGATGTTATCCATATTAAAGGCCTTTGATCTTCTGGAGTAAGTACTTTAGTGAAGTCTTCTTAATTTTCTCCAAGCAAGATTATATTATTTACATAATACATAATTTGATGAGTTTTCTTCCAATTCTGATACCACATTATTTTTCATACAGTCCAGTATCACAAATTATTTGCTTAGTATAGAAAAGGAGAAGAGATATAACTGTGACATACTACATGACTTTAAACCATGTAGTATTCCCTTGTTTTGTTTGAATGATGACTGCTTCTTTGTACATGTTTCACATAAACACAAGTGTTCTGGAATTCCCATTCTTCTCAACGTTGGTCACATTTTATTATAATCCACAGAGTCAAATGCCTTCACACAGTCAATAAAACACAAGTAAACATCTTTCTATTATTCTCAGCTTTCAGCTATGATCAAGTATTACCTATGTTGAGACTACCTGGAGAGGTGTTTTTTGGTATATTAAGTTTGTTTACAGGAGTATTTATGGACTTCTACTTACTTATAAGGCACATTGTTTAAATCCACCAGCTAGCTGCTCCAGAGGAGAAAGATGGACAGTCTCCTCCAGTAAACTGTCTCCAAAAGCTCACTGGAAGGTCAGGGCTGGTTCTGATTTGACAGTACACAACAACAACATCTTGCTTATAAGGGAGTTCTGGTTTTAATGTTAAGAAGTTGTTCTGCCAACCCAAAGACATATGGTTCAATACCCCTAGCTATTCCTTGAGACAAAAAGATAGGCAATTTTCTCTTGTGTGATTTATTGCCTTTGAGAACCTGCTGGAAGATCAGCTATGAGTTGAAGGTACAAGAATAATAACTTCTTAATAATTCTCAGCAAGACTTTACTTACATGTGATATTAGTGGAATTGTTCCATTATTTCCACATTCTGTTAAATCACCTTTTTGGGAATGGGAACAAATATGGATCTTTTCCTATCAATTGGCCAGGTAGCTCTCTTCCCAATTTCTTGGCATAGACTAGTGAGCATGTTCAGGGCTGTTTGAGGAAACACCTCAGTTGACAATCCATCCATTCCTTGAACCTTATTTTTTTCCAATGCATTCAGTGCAACTTGAACTTGTGCCTTCAGTATTGGTTTATGATTGTGTACTACTTTCTCAAATGGTTCCGTGTCAACCTATTCTTTTTGGTACAATGACTCTTGATATTTCTTTCATCTTCTTTTGGCACTTCTTGCATTATTTAATTTTTTACCCATAGAATCCTTCAGTATTACGTCTGAAAGATTAGCCTAAATGTCATTTTTCAGTTTCTTCAGCTTGAGAAATTCTGACTGTGTTCTCCCCTTTTGGTTTTCTCTGATAACCATTTTGGTCTTTTTTCCTCCTCTTCTGTATTTTCTTTTTTAAATTTTATTATTTTTGTGTGAGTGTACCGTCAAATCAGATCTGACTGGTATAGGAGGAGATTGTCCCTCCTTCCCCGGCAGAGCATCTGGTGGACTCTTCTGTATTTTTAATGACCTTTTTGTTTCTTCATAGATGATGCCCTTGATGACATTTTACATTACAGTTTGTCCAGTTTTTGATTGTTAGTTTTCAAGGGCATAAAATTTAAAATTTAGGTAAGTAGTTGCAGCAAGGATGGTGAAACTTCTTGCATGCTTTTTGGTTATGTTGTCAGGAGAGGCCAGTCTTTGGCAAAAGATATCATACTGTGAAAGGCGGAGAGTCAGAGAAACAGAGGAAGTCCCTCAACAAGATGGATTGATACGTTGACTGTCAAAATGGGCTTCAGCATGGTGGAGATCATGAGAATGGCATAGGATAGAGCAAGGCTTAAAACTGCTGTTCATAGTGTTGCTACAAGTCATAACAGCAACAAAGACAAGGACAAACCATTCCCACCACCCAGGGATCCTGAATGAGTTATTAGAAAATACTAGTATTTTTTATTCCACGTAACTCAAAGAGATGATTTAAGATCACATTCAGACATGTGCTTGTTATTGTTATGTTCTGTCAAGTCAGCTACAACTCAGAGACCCTTTCAATAGCAGCTGTGGGAACTTGCTCTATCCTTTGTGATCCTCACAGTCTCTACCATACTCAAGCCCCACTGCCACAGTCATTATGTCAATCCATTTTGTTATAGGTTTTCCTCTCTTGTTCTGACTTTGTACTTTTCTAAGCATGATTTTTTTTCTCCAAGGACTGGTCCATCCTGGCAGCATGCCCAAAGTAAATGAGCTACAGTCTCACCATCCTTTCTTCCAAGGCACACTCTGTTTCACTTTCTCTGGGACAGACCTATTTCTACTCTTGGGAGTCCATAGTATGTTCAGTACTCTTCTGTACCACAGCTCAAAGGCATAGATTCTTCTTTTGTCATCTTTCTTCATTGTCCAGCTTTCAGATGCATAGCAAGCAATTGAGAAGATCATAACTTTGATCGGGTGTATCTTAGTCTTTAGACTGACATCATTCATCTTTAGCCCTCTGCAGAGGTCCTTTACAGCAAATTTCCCAGTCTTTTGTTTTCCTGACTGCTGGTGCCAAGAGTGTTGATTATGGATCCAAGCAAGATTAAATTGTTAACAGCTTTAATCCTTTTTCCTATTACCTATTGGCCTGGTGGTGAAGATTTTTTTCCCTCTTCTTGTTGAGATGCAATCCATAGTGAAGGCTGTAGTCCTTGATTTTTTGTGGCAAGTACTTCTAGATCCATCCTGAAACACAATGCTGAGTGACAATGCTGTCCATACATTTACAAGGGAAACCTGTTGATACAATTATCATTCAAATCTATGCACCAACAACTAAAGCCAAAGAGGAGGAAATGGAAGATTTCTGCCAACTTTTGCACTCTGAAATTGATCAAACATCACCCAACATATATTAATAATAAATGGTGGCTGGGATGTAAAAATTGGGAACAAGGAGGAAGGACCAGTAGTTAGAAATAACAGTCTTGTTGACAGTGAGACTGAAAATAAAATGTTAGAGTTTTGTACAATCCATAGTTTATTCATTGCAAATTGTTGTTGTTGTTATATGCCATCAAGTGTCTTGCGACTCATAGTGACTCTATGTACAATAGCCCTAAAACCTGCTCTATCTTGGGCCAATCTTACTGCTTCTGACAAACCCATCCTGATTACCCATCACTGAATCAATCCACCTCATAGAGGCTCTTTCCCTCCTGCACCTGCCCTCCACCCTACCAAGCATGATGTCCCTCTCCAAGGATCTGTCCCTCCTTACAAAATGTCGAAAGTATGTCAGAGGAAGCCTCAGAATCCTTGCCTCCAAGGAGCATCCTGGTTTAACCCTCTCTAGGATGACTCTGTTTTTTTTCCTCGCAGTCCATAGTACCCTCAGTACTATTCTTCAGCACCAAAGTTCAAAGGCACCAGTTCTCCTTCTATCCTCCTAGGCATTGTCCAACTCTCTGAAGCATAACAAGTGATTGCAAAAACCATGGCCTGGGGAGCTCTGGTGGCCTAGTGGCAAGAAGCTGTACTGCAATCCCAAAGATACACGGTTCGAATCCACCAGATGCTCTGCTGGAGAAGGAGGGACAATTTCCTCCTGTGCCAGTCAAATCTGATTTGATGGTACATGCACAAAAAATAATTAAAAAAAAATTTAAAAAAACAAAACAAAAAAACTACTATCAGACGCACCTTAGTCTCCAGAGTGACATCATTGCTCTTTAGTACTTTGGAGAGGTCCCTAACAGCAGACTTTCCCATCACAATACATCTTTTAATTTCCTGAGTACTGGTGCCAAGATTGTTGACTGTGGCGCCAAGCAAACTAAAGCTGTGAACATTCTCAGTCTCTTCACCATCCATCCTGATGCTGCCAATTGGTCCAGTGGTGAGAATCTTTGTTTTCTTTATTGAGCCTCCATCCATATTGAAGGCTGCAGTCCTTGACCCTCTGCAGCAAGCGTTTCAGGTTGCAAATACTTTTTGTAAAAAACACACATAGCGATTATACACATGGACCTCCCCTGATGGGTGACACAGGGATCAGATTGATTACATCTATGGGAAGAATTGTTGGAGAAATCCATATCAGCTGTGAAAAACAGGTCACATGCTGACTATGGAACAAACCATCAACTACTTATGTGCAAGGGCAGTCTGAAGCTAAAGAAAATGAAAAACCCATAAGAACCAAAATACAACTTGGAATCTATCCCACCTGTATTTAAAAACTGTCTCAGGAACAGTAGTTGAAGGACTTCTTCTCCCTCACCAACCATCTACCCTTCCTAGCATCATGTCCTTCTCCAAGGAATAGCTCTTCCTAGCAACATGCCCAAAGTATATGAGTCAAAACTTTGTTATTCTTGCCTCCAGAGAGCTCTCTGACATATTTATTTGTGCTTTTTGTTAATATGGAGGGTTCAGTGCTCTTCTCCAATACTATAGTTTCAAGGCATCAATTCTTCTGTCATTCTTATTAATTGTTCAGCTCTCAGATGCCTAGGGAGTGACCACAAAGACTATTTTGGTCTGCAAAAATGAAATTGATGTCAGAAGAGACTCTGAAAATTACACTGGAGCATGGAGAAGCCCAAACAAAAGAAAAACATGCTGAAGTGAAATTGCTGAATAGAAAATTTCAAAGGGTAGCTTGGGAGGACAAAACAAAGTATTATATTGAAATGTGCAGAGAGCTGAAATTGGAGAATAATAAGGGAAGAACTTGCTGTGCATTTCTCAAGCTGAGAGAACTGAAAAATATAAGCCTTGAGTTGCAGTATTGAAAGAAGCTTTGGAGAACATATTGAATGATTCAGAAAACATCAAAAGAAGATGGAGGGAATATACAGAATCACTGTACCACAAAGAACTGATTGACACTGAAAAATATCTGCAAGTACCATATAGACGGGAGTCAGTGGTAATGAAGGAGGAAGTGTAAGCTGCATTGAAAGCGTTGGCAAAAAATAAAGCTTTGGGAATCAATGGGATACCAATTGACTTGTAGAATTTTATAATACTTACCTGCAAAAGGAATCATTCAACTTCATCTGTCATAGATGATCTTTTACTCACATAGGAATGTGGGAAAATTTATTACATAGTTTTATATTATCTCTTGGTGCATTAACAAAAATGATTATTGGTGGTACAGTGGTTAAGTGCTTCTAACCAAAATACTAGTCAAACCCACCAGCTACTCACAGGAAAAAAGATACGGTAGTCTCCTCTTAAAATGATAGCCTTGAAACTAGAGGGCTGTTGTACTCTCTTCTCTAGAGTTACCATGTGTCAGAATCAACTGGATGGCGACAGGTAGCATAAGAAAATATTTTTAAAGACTCAGTGGTTTAAAGTAATCGGAATACTTATCTCAGTTTTTTAAGGTCAGAAATTTAAAAAAATGTTTAATTAGGTAGGTGCTTTAGGCTGAGGGTTTTTTAAAATTTGCTGTCAAGATTTTGACAAGGATTCAGTAATCTGAAGGTTTGACTGGATTTGGAAAACTAATTTTCATAATTCTTTATTCTAAAGAAGGCATGTAGGAATCACTGGTGTGTAATAGTTGATATACAGTAAATCAGAGATTGTTATTTCAATGATTAAAACTCAATGCGTGGAAATGAGCCTTATATTTTAGTTTCAGTCCTCTGAACACTTGCTCTTGTCTTTTAAATAATTCCCATCTCCCACCCCAACAGTTGTGTCTTATTCTGCTTACTTTTTATAAAGATTCGGAGATCCGAGGTCCTATTTCCTTTTGTACATTCCCTGTCCCTTTCAGTTATAGCTCATGGTATCTCTAGCAATATAATTTTCTTAAATCTTTGTTGCACTTTTGTGAATCTTGTTGGTGGTTACTATTGAATAATAGCCAGAATCTGTTTGAGATGAGTCAGTTCTTTAACTTGGGCTTTTGCCCAAGGCATCTGGAGACAGTATCCTTCCTTTGAGCTTGATAGAAGGCCTATTTGAGGTGATTGTGGAGAACATCCTAAAAATATGTAGAGAGGCTTTTGCCTTGCCTCATAATCTGAGACACTGTCAGATCCTAACCAAGAATTTACAACTATCCCTTAACTTCATCTTTAGATAATATTTTTTTAGTAGTTCCTGAATTTATTTTTGTCGGAATGATTTTTTAGTCATTTTTTGTAATTTGGAGAGCTAGAGATATTTCAGACCCCATACACACCTGCTTCAGCAGTTATCTACCATTTCCTTGAGGCTTTTAAAGCTTTTAGAATTGATATCATAAAAGGTATTCTGACCTTATCTTTGTTCTCTCTTTTGGATCACTACTATAGGGAAGCTAGCTGTTGTATTTAAGGACACATTAAGCAACTCACCTTAATAGTCCTTTTGGCTTTTGCTAACTCTAGTTCCAAAGTTTGTTTTTTTCCACAGTTTTGCTTATTTTCATGTATCAAATGTGTACTATATATCCATTGCTGCATAATGAATTACTATCAAAATCTTTGGCTTAAAACAACAAAGATTGTTTATTTCATAGTTTCTTTGGTATCAGATTAAAGAGTGGCTTAGTTAAGTGCTTTCTGGCTCAAGATTATTTCATGAGGTTGCTGTCAAGATGGTGGCCAAGGCTTCAATCTTCTAAAAGACATTAATAGAGCTGGAGGAGCTAAATCTAAGATGACTTACATTGCTGTTCCTATGAGGCCTCTGTTTCTTTCCATAACATTGCTTGGTAAATTCTTACAACACAGCAGCTTTGCCACTAGAGCACATGATCCAAAAGAGAGAGTAAGAATGAAATAATACTACTATTTTGTGATCTCTTGTAAATGTGCCATCGAGTTGACTACTGCTCATAGTGACCTTATGAACAACAGCTCTGAACCTGAGCCAATCTCACCGTCTTTGCCACACCTTCTGAGTTAGTATATTTCTTTTACTGTAATCTGTTAGAAACAAGTCACTAAATCTTGTCTTCAATAAAAGCGAGAGAATTATGCTCCACTTTTTGAGGGGAGAAGTATCAGAATTTGTTAAAATTCATAATAATTTTGTTGCAAAATTGATTTTCTTATATTTTTTAAAATGCTGTAATGTATTTAAAAAATGCTGTAATAATATCAAGTACTAAAAAATTTAAAGTATTTCCTACATGAAGATTTTCTTTTTACCATCCACTTCTTTCTCTCTGTACTACTCATTGCAAAAGAACTAACTGTACAGTCATTACAAAAACTTAGGAAAATGTAGAAATACAAAGAAGAAAATAAAACACCCTGCAATCATATAGACTTAGTCTCAATTCCAATTTTTGTGACTATCATTGTTATTTTTAGTTCATGCTTGCATGTAAATGAAAAATGGTATCTTTTCATAAATCATTTTGCAGCCTGCAGCTTCAAAAGTGAGGATTCTTTCAACTAGTATAAAGTTAAACCAATGGCAGAAGAAAATCTATAATTGATTTTAGAGAGAAATTTAACTAGTGGTTAATAAACTTACACTTTACTCTTTTAACTTACTTAGTTTATAAAAGTGAATCAGAATCAAGTTAGCAATGTTTTGGTCTTATTTTTCTCAGTGTTCTTATTTTTCCTCTTTCTTCTCATGCTGACATTCAGACCAAACTTTGGATCAGATAATATTTTAGCAAGAATAATACTGAGACTATTAGAAATAATTCTTTTTTTCCTTTTTATTCTCATAAATCACTCCATTAGTGGTACCTTACTAGGGTGGCCACAGGAGACTAATAACACTTTATTACAGTCTTTCCTTGTACTGACATTTTCCACTGTACTCTCAAATTCCATGGCTGATTGGATCAGAAGCTGGACCAATGGGATTTTCACTTCTGGAGATTTAAAACTGAGAGATAGAGATTCTTACTGGTTACTTTCGTAGGCTGACCCTAGAAGGTCAAGTAGGGCTAGAGTGGAAGATGCTCTTTGGATGTGGATTCCAGATCTTGTGCAATACTGGGAAGAATCAGCCTCCTGAGGAAGTGAAAGGAACTGAAGAAGAAGAGGTACAGAAATTAAATTGAGAGAGGCACTGATTTGGTGACAATGGCCTGTAGGCAATGTTGATGTGAAGGTGCTTGTGCTGACCCTTCTCCTGCCTCCAAGGGTCTTTCCCTGTTCAGCTTAGGGCAGGGCAGAAAGACAGCACAGCAGGAAGTCCTGCCTGGAGCCTCCAGCTCCTTTCCAGACATATTGTAAGGGGACTAGAAATAATTTTTTTCATAACCTAACTAAAATAAATTGTTATGATTGAATACATTTAAGTCTATTAACAATTTCATTATTTATATATATAAATTTTAGAGCAATTATTAACAAGCTCTGAAAGTGATGATGAAATTTTCCAAAGAAGTAAGAAGACAAGAAGAAATGTTTTAGAGTCCCCTGAGGTGAGTCATTGAGTAATCACAATAATGTGATCATATGAAAAGCTGCTCTTTTAATTTGGGAGACATTTTGCTCTCTTTTATCTGCTTTATCTAGGATCAGAAAAATAATGAGGTTGCTTCTCCAGTTCATGCTGTCAAAAAGCGGAGAATTCTTCCAAATAGAGTGAGTAACATGACGCATAGTAACTAAAATTCCTTGGGAATATACATTTCAAGGAAAACATGACCCATTGCTGACCCTTCAGCAGGTTTTCAGAGGCAGTAAATTGCCCTGGAGGAGATTGCTTATTCTTCTGTGGAACATCTGGTGAATTTGAATCATGTGCTTTTGGGATTGCAGAGCAGCTTCTTACCACTATGCCACCGGAGGTCTTTTAGTTATTAAACAATGAAATCAGTTTATATTAACCTTGTATTCTCTGAAAATGTCACCAGAAAAATTGCTTCAATTTGATTGATTTCTTAGTAAAAATGTCTGATTGGCTAATTATTACCACCACCCTCAATTAATTCCAATTTCTGTTAACTCTCTAGGACAGAGTAGAATTGCCTCATAGGGATTCCAAGGTTGTATTCTTTATGGGATAGTTCTAGAACATGGTTCAGAGCTGTTGTTTATCAGATCACTATGAGTCGTACTCGACTGCATGACACTTAACAAGAACAACATTCTTTATGAGAGCTGACTACAGACTTGTTGGTTTGCAGCACCACCCTTTTGATTGGAGCTTTAACCACTCTGCTACCAGAGTTGTAAGTGAATGAAAATATTTACAGTGCTTAAGATACATTTTTTTTATAGAGACATTTTCAACTCAAATTATTCCTGATGATTAAAATTTTTTAATGGACCTTTTTTAAAAATTCAATTTCTTTGAAAATTCCTGTTTTTTTAAAAAAACGGTTGTCATTATAGTTATATTCTATATGTTGACTCTATCATCTAATGTTGGTTTATACTGCTTTTTTTCTTTTTTGGTTTTGTTTTGGGTTGTTTTTTTTCTTGTTCCCCCACCCCATCTTCAGCCCCTGCTCTTCTTTCTTTCCCTTTCGGTCGTCTTACTAGTTATCTCTATTTTTATAATATTTGTAATATTTATATTATATTATTATGTTATGTTACATTATAACGAGAATATATTCTTTTTAGTCATATAGTGATAGATGCTATAGTAAAATTTTATTTTTTGTTTCTTGATTTGAAAGAATCCTTGCATGTTTGAACTGATTTTGATGGCAGTTTTTGTAGATCTAATCAGTTATTTTATGTGAAACTTTTTACCTCAGAATTTTGAGTTTATAGGGAGGACTGGTGGCCTAGTGCTAAGGAGTTGCTCTGACAACAAAAATTTGGTTTTAAAACCTTGGAGCCTCTGATTGAAAAACAAAAAACAAAACAAACAAACCAAAAGCCCCTCTCACAAATAAAACCAAGTTTACAAGGAGACAGAGAAGTATCTCATTAGGAAGTTTGTCAGCAGGGAAGATAAGTGGTAGAGTAGGCTGCTATTTGGGGTTTCATAAATTCCTTACCACCAGTGTGTGTCTAATATATAGGAGAGAGAAATATAGACTGAGGGACAGAGATGGCCTAAAATGAAAATGTTTTGCAGATGATCTATAATTTTTTAAAAACTTTTTAAAAACAATATGTTATCTGATGCTGCTTATAATTTCATTTAGTTGGAGACTTCAGGGTTTATGTCTTCCTGTTAGTCCAGGGTTAGGGTTAGGGTTAGTGTCATAGTCCATAAGATGGTGTGTTACCAACGCAAAGCCTGCTGCCTCTCTTGTGGTTTGAATCCACAGGAAAAAGATGGGTAGTTTTCTCTTGTGCAATTTACAGTCTCCTGTAAGTCACTGGAGGGTCAGAATCAATGACGAGGATGTTTTATAAGACTTTTCAATAAAGATCATTAAATATTCTTCAAGGTTCAAGCATTCCTATCCTACTAAATAGATAAGTTTACAGTAAATTATTAACATAAAGTTAGATACTGGAAAGCATAATGTAGCTCCTGAAGGACAAAATGACTTTAGTATTGCTCTCTGCTGACTGCTACTGTCCTTCACTCATGAGGATCTTCTAAAGGAAACAGTTAAACTAAAAAAAAATCTGAATTGTAATTTGATATGTGTAAGGATGTGTATGTGCATAAGTGCTTATTCACTTGAGATAGTACTAAATTGTATGTGTGTGTGTATTAGTTTTACATGTATCTCCTCACTTAATATTTTAGTATTTCCTAAATTCATGTTTTTTAAATTCTTAAGTACATATTATATATATTTTTAGATCATATGGCTTAGTGTTACAAAGAGAATTTTCTTTTCTAAGTAGAAAATGTTGAGTCAAATATTTTAGAAAATGAATGAAAAGAAGCAGCTCTTGAATAATACAGTAAGATAAAACAACCCACTTATTTTTTTCTTACGCAAGAATTTTATTGAATTATAGTCAGAGTTATCATCTGGTGACGAGAGTGAGAATTTTCAAAAATGTCATTTCAACGATGTCAAGGGTTGTAAAAAGACTCCCAAAAGAAGTGTCAAAATCCCCAAAAGAGATAGCCACCTAAAGGTAAGCCTTTTCTTCATTATATATACATATTATTAAAGAACATTAAAATTTTATACAGAAGTTGAATTATCTTTTTTAAATTTTTTTAATTATTATTAATTTCAATGAACATTTACAGAGATTTTGGATTTCCATTCATTCATTGTTGCACTTTTCTCCCTGCCCCCCATCCCAGTTCGCTCTTCTCTTTGAAATGTAAAAGAAAAATTCCTTCATTGGTATACAATCCCCCCGCACCCCTCCACCCCTACTCTGAGTATACTCCACTCTGCAACCTTTATTCTGGACTCTTATGGAATTATCGCTTTCTAAGCATTATATATTTTTCCTTATAGAATTAAAAAAATGTAAAAGCATTTTTAGCCCAAATTTGCCTTCTTACTATAATTAAAATTTAAGAAATGTAATATGTGAGGGAAATATAGAGGCAAAAATTTGAGGTTTAAAATATTTCCTTTTATAGTCTTGTTTATCTCATTTAATCATTGGAAAAGGCTTCTCAGTAGGTATTCTGTAATCAGTCCTCTTATGTGAGGACTTTTTGCTTTTCTTGGCAAAATGTTGATAGGCAAAAGACTTGAAAGATTTTATGCTTTTGAAAATAAACCTTAGCTAATTGTTAAGTTCACTTGCACTTTATTTTACTTATAAATAAATATGTATACTACTTTATTATTTCTTCTTGTAGTTTCAGCTTTTTTATTTTAAAAGCATTTCCAAGAATTTCGTTTTCTAAAATATTTAGAATTATTTAAGAAAGTAACTTTTTTCCTAAGGATATCCTTATGTGTTTATATTTGGCTTAGCATGTAGCTAGGCAATTTTTAGATGATGAAGCAGAACTTTCCCAAGAGGATGCAGAATATGCTTCATCAGACGAAAATGACGAGTCAGAAAATGAACAAGATTCCTCAATACTTGACTTCTTAAATGATGAAACTCAACTTTCACAGGCTATTAATGGTGAATATTATAATGATGCTTGTATTATTATTTTTTATTAATTTTAATGAAAGTTTACAGAGACTTCGGGTTTCTAGTCAATCATTGTTGCACTTTTCTCCCTGTCCACGCCCCTCCTCCCAAATCACTCTTCTCCTTGAAAAGTAGAAGAAAAACTTTTCCGTTGTTATGCAGTTCCCTCTCCCCAAGTCCACTCCACTGTGCAGCCTTCACTATGGACTTCAGTAATGACAAGAACACCCATTCATATATCCCTTTTAAACAGTTCTCTCCCTCATCTGTTGCAATGCAGTAGACATCATTCTCATCCCTGATGCCAGTCCCTTTTTACAATAGAGGCCTTATGCAATATTTGACCTTTTGTGACTGAGATATTTCACTCAGCATAATGTCATTCAGGGTCATCCATTTTGCATAATATTTCATGAGTTCCTTATTTTTCAATGCTGCATATTATCCTGCTTCATAGAATGCTGCTTCTCTATCCATTCATTTGTTGATGAGCACTTGGGTTGTTTCCAGCTCTTTGCTATTGCAAAAAACAAAGCCGCAATAAACATGGGTGTGCATATATCTGCTTGTTGGCAGTTATGGTTTCTTTAGTGTATATTTCCAGTAGTGGAATTTCTGGGTCAAATGGTATTTCTATTTGCAACTTTTTGAGAAAGTGCCATACTGCCTTCCATAATGGTTGCACCATTTTACACTCCCACCAACAGTGAATAAGGGTTCCATTTTCTTCACAACCTCGCCACCATTTGATGTTTGCTGTTCTGTTAAATTTTATTATTCTTACTGGGATGAGAAGATACCTCATAGTTGATGCTTGTATTATTTTTAAGTTTCCAATACTTTTTGTGTAGCTAAAGTTAATTATTCCCTTTTCCAAGAAACTAGATCTTAAAGGAAATTAAATTTGTGTACTTAGTTATTTTTGTGAAAGTTCTGAAATATTTTTTTTAAACTTGGTTGGTTATGCTGTTGTAATGAAGTGCCATTGAGTCAAGTATGACTCATAGTGACCCTATGAACAGATCAGAGCCTTGTCTTAATGCTGTGTCATCCACATCATCTGGGACATACTTCAGACCATTGCTGTAGTCACTGTGTCAAAATCATTGAGTCTTCCTCTTTTTCTCTGACCCTCCACTTTTCCAAGCATGATATCCCTTTCCAAGGAATAGTCTGTCCTAGCAACATGTCTAAAGTATGTGAGATGAAACTTCACTCTCTTTGCCTGTAAGGAACACTCAGGCTGAACTTTCTCTAAATTCAGTACGCTTCTCCAACACCACAACTCAATGGCATCAAGTCATCTTCTGTCATCCTTATTTATTGTCTAGCTCTCAATAGGGAAGTAAAGGTGGAAGAAAAACTATTACTGCAGTAGTCTAAGGAATGTGGCATAAGGATTGGAGGAAGAGTCATCAACAGCCTGCATTTATGCAGAGGACAAAACCCTGCTTACTGAAAATTAGCAGGACCTGAAGTGCTTGCTGTAGAAGGCCAAGGACTGCAGTCTTCAATATGGGTTGAAACTCAACAGCAAGAAAACAGAGATTCTCAAGACAGAGCTGAGAACCTGAGATCAAGACAGCTCCACATCCTTAACGTCCAGTGAGTCCCTTCTTCAGGCCTTTGGTGGCTATTCTGCGAAGCTAATCGTGGACGAGTTGCACTAACGTCCAACATGGAGTACGAGGCCACTGAGCTAACGTCTGTGGAAGAGGAGAGAGTCGGGTGACAATTCCCTCTTCATCTTCTAAATCGCCTTGAGCTCTGAGCCTGCCAGTCAGAGAACTCAGAAGGAGTTGAGAGGCTGTATCCCTCACATGCCAGAACTCAACGCACCATGTCTCGGGCCACGAAGAGGAAGCATGTGGTGAAGGAGGTGTTGGGGGAGCACATGGTGCCCTCCGACCAGCAGCAGATTGTGAGGGTACTCAGGACCCCAGGGAACAATCTGCATGAAGTGGAGACGGCCCAGGGACAGCGCTTCCTTGTGAGCATGCCTTCCAAGTACAGAAAGAACATCTGGATCAAGAAAGGAGACTTTCTCATCGTTGACCCCATTGAGGAGGGAGAGAAGGTGAAGGCTGAGATCTCATTTGTGCTCTATAAGGACCATGTGCGCGCTCTACAAAAGGAGGGGCTCTAGCCTGAGGCCTTCTCTGAGGTGGCTGAGAAACAAAACAGCAGGAACAGACAGACTCAGCCAGAACTTCCAGCAGAGCCTCAGTCCTCGGGAGACGAGTCCAGCTCTGAAGATTATTCTGACCTCTTTGTAAACACTAACCGCAGACAGTATCATGAGAGTGAGGAGGAGAGTGAAGAGGAAGAAGAGGGAGCCTGAGACCCAGGGCCTACCTCTCCTGTTGCTCAGAGACTAATTGCTGGCTCCCTTGGGCTTGGACATTCTCTGGGTGCCCTGCAGCTCTTCCCCTCTGGATGGGGACAAGGCAGGGCCCACTCTGAACAGACTTTTCTGGCCTGCAGGATGGAATTAAACCCCTGGTGGGTTCTTGCCTGTGAAAAAAAACAAAAAAACAAAAAACAAACAAACAAACAACCAAAGATTCTCACCACTGGGCCAATTGGCAGCATCATTACAGATGATGAAGAGATTGGGATTGCTAACAGTTTTAGTTTGCTTGGATCCACAGTCAACACTCTTGGTACCAGCAGCTAGGAAATCAAGAGACGAATTGCACTGGGAAAGTCAGCTGTCAGGGACCTTTCTAGAGTACTGAAGAACAACCACATCAGGCTGGAGACTAAGGTGCTCCTGATCCGGGCTATAGTCTCCACATTTGAGTGCTATGCATCAGAGAGCTGGATAGTGACTAGGTATGATAGAAAGAGAATTGATGCCTTTGAGCTGTGGTGCTGGAGAAGAGTGTTGAATATACCATGGACTGCTAGGAGAACAAACAAGTTTCTCCTGGAGAGGGTTAAACTGGGCTGCTCCTTGGAGTCAAGGATTCTGAAGCTTCATCTGACATACTTTGGGCATGCTGCAAGGAGGGACCAGTCTTTGGAGAGGGACATCATGTTTGGGAAGGTGAAGGGACAGCACAGGAGAGGAAGACCTTCAATGAGATGGATTGATTCAGTGATTTGGGGTAGTGGGAGTAGGTGTGTCAGAGACAATATGGTTGGCACAGGATAGAGCAGTGTTTAGGGCTCTTGTACATAGGGTCAATATAAGTTGCAAGTGACTCGATGGCATATAACAAGAACAAGAAGTCTAAAGAGGTGGTGGCTTCTACCAAAATGATAGTAAAATAATAAGCAAGCTTGCATTATGCATATATTAGGCAAGAATAGTCCATAAGATGTTCTGGTGGATTATAGAGAGAAATAAAAGAAGAATTAGTGGTCTCGAGTAATACGAAACATGTATACTTGCTGTTTCTAATGAAGAAGGTTGCAGATAAAAGAGTTAAATGTTGGATAGAGTTCTAAGATTCTCATTTAGACATGCTATGTTTGGTATGTACCAGATTGCATAACCTTTAAGAAAATCTGTACATGTCCCAGTTTGACTTAAAATTTTGAAGAGTATTATTTGGCTGAAACTTTTTTTTTGCTGAAACGTTTAATGCCTTTTGTTTTACATTTGTTTTTTGGTTTATGAATACATCCTATAAACCACTTACTGTTCTAAGTATGTATTTTATTTTTTAGTGAAAAAGCACTATTTAATCCTTATATTCAGAGGCGACATATAACTACAGCAAAAAGGAACTTAAGAAACTACCCAATAATCACCCAACAAAATATTCTGATTTGAAAGGCAAAGTTCCCATCTTTGAATGCTAAATAATTTGTATACACTTTTCAGTAAATATTAAATATATTTTGTGTAAAAACTTTATGAGGTATTTTTCATATCAATTGTGGACAAAGTTAACATAGTTTGCCAGTTTTCATTTAAATAATTTTAGTATTTATGTTACAATTATAGATTAGGTAAAAGAAAGAGTTTCCTATTTTTCACTAAAAATTTTTTCTTCTTTATACAGATTCTGAAATGAGAGCTGTTTATGCAAAATCTTTGCACAGTCCACTGATGAACAATAAGTACAAAATGGTCCAAAAGAAACATAACAACATAAACATTTTTTCACAGGTATGACTGTGGGTCACTGAAGCCTCCATCTTATAAAAACCAGAGCTATTTAGGATAAGCTCTCTTGTGTTTTTTGTTATTGGTGTTGTTTGCCATCAAGTTGACCACAATTCATAGCGACGCTATGATCAAAAGGCCTGAAGTCTTTCTATAACTATCGACATTTATCAAAGTTCATAGAGTTTCCAGAAGCATGTTGGTTAGGAAGTGGATGCCACTCCAGTTAACTTGTCTCATTTGAAGTAGGTAGAAAGTGTGATTTTCTAAAGATTGATTCTTTAAAACCATTTGTCAATGCTTTAGAAGAAATTTTGATTACAACCAAGATATCCCTATGTAGCATTTCTATGCAGTAACACACGAGGTCCGAATCAGAATCAGTTTGATGGCACTATCATATAGCATTGAGCACATTGCTTGTTTAATCAAAATTTACTTTTCTAGCTGTATGCAATTGATTGTAAATTCCAAGAGGGTGGATTACTCTATTTTTTTGCTTATCCTTTCATTCCCCTTTTACTTTCATAAAAAAATGTACTCACAATATATTAGTTGAATAGATAAATTAACACAGAGATAATGCGTGGTTGCTGTGATGCTAAACACTGTGACACTGGTGGGCCAAATGGTACTCATGGTGGACAATGTTTGGTGGCACTCCCCGATTAAAACAAACTTGGAAGGAGGAGTGGTGGCATCCACTTCCGAAATAGCTTGCCTCCGGAAACTCTATGAACAGTGCTCAGGTCTTTCGCTCATAGGGTCGCTATGAGTCGTCTCCAACTTCCTGGCACTTAACAACAACATAAAATAAATATTAATGACAATCTCATACATTTGAAAGATATGTTAAATAGATATTGCTCACATAAAAAATGAAAAATGACTCTTCTTTTTCTTGTAGATTCCTGAGCAAGATGAAACCTATTTGGAGGACAGTTTTTGCGTTGCTGAAGAGGAGTCTTTCAGAAGCCAATCAAGTGATGAAGAAGTTTGTGTCGATTTTAACTTAATAACTGAAGATTGCTTTGGCAATGGAAATAAAAAATATAAAACCAGGCATGCAGTAAAACAAATGAAGACCCGACAAAACTGTGCACTTTCTAAAAGGAAGTTTTCCAGAATTGTTTTACCAGATGATTCAAGTGAAGAGGAAAATAATGTAAAAGATAAAAGATGTTCCAGTATTGTGGTTAAGCCAAGCACTGTTAACAAGAATGAGCAACAGGACCATCATCTCAATTTTGTGCCTTCTGGGTCATTATTCCAGTCTAAGGTCCATTCTAATCCAATTGCCCTCCAGTCTCAGAAGCAGACACCACAGTCACCACTTCATGTAAGGGATACAGTTTCTGAAGCATTGGACTTCAAACCTCTGAAGCATACTAAAATCAGATCTCCTTCACCATCTTTCAGAACTGTTGAGTCATGGAAAGACAGTAAAAAATTTCCAATTCAGCTGAAGGTATAGATCAGATTCACAGAAAGTTTTGTTATGTTTGTAAAGATGTTTGTGTGATGTGTGTATGTGTGTCTGTACGTTTATCAACGACGGTTTTATTTTACAGGTAATTGCTAACCAAATTAGAAACACTCAATACAGTTCTTCACTCAAGATCTTCTTTGTGCTGAGAGGCAGGCCTGTCTGATTTTTCACCTGGAGGCCTTGGCCTCTGCCTTGCTAGGAAAATGTTGCAAAGCTGTACTGTTGTTGTTGTTGTTTGCCATCAAGTCGAGCATGATTCATAGTGACTCTATGAATAAAGGACCTGAAGCCTTTCTATAACTATTGTTTCTCAAAGTTCATAGAGTTTCAGAGGCATGTTGTTTAGGAAGTGCATGCCACTCCTACTTCAAATCTGTATTCACTCTGCCAATTATGCATCACCGCTATTTTTCCCAGTAAGTCTACGACTGAAGGCACTAACTCTGTGGGTCAGCAGATTTAGTTCCTCTGGCATGTGCCTTAAAGGCAGGTACTCTACTTTCTTGTTCTGGGCCAGAAGCCTGCAACTCTGTCTCACACCAGTCTGTGGTTCTTGCCCCCTCCTCTCCTACCTCCTTCTCCACACTGCCACCTTTATTGCTGTATCACAGTCTCTTCAGTGCCACCCGCTCTCCGTTTCAGGTTCATACAGAGAGTTCAAATTCAAAGGACATGCTGAATTTTCTTGTTCTTTCTTTTTTAGTGGTAATGAAATTCCCCCCCTCCCCCACCTCTTAGTTTGCTCAGTTTAAGCCTGGCAGGATGGCAAAACTGATTAATCTCCACCAAAAGATGCCATTTAACTTATTTACATTATTATCAATCTATCCAGTTCCCTTAGTTAGCCACAGAGAGCTAACATTTGCATACTACCCAGCTGGCGTGAAAAAATTAAAAGGGGAGCATTTGCTTGGTATTTCTCAGGCTGAAGGAATTGAAGGAAAACAAGCCTCAAGTTGCAATATTTAAAGATGCTCTGGGCAAAATATTGAATGATCCAGGAAGCATCAGAAGATGACAGAAGGCATACACAATCATTGTACCAAAAAGAATTGGCTGACAAGGAACAACTTCCAGAAGTAGCATATGATCACAAACCAGTGGTAATAAAGGAAACAGGTCAAACTGCTGTAAGGAATTGGCAAAAAAATAATGCCCTAGGAATTGATATTGATGGAATACCAATTGACATATTTCAACAAACAGATGCATCCCTGGATGTGCTCACCAGCTGGTGCCAAGAAATCTGGAGGAAAGCTACCTGGCCAGCTGACTTAAATAAATCTATTTATTCCCATTCCCAAAAAAGGTGATCCAACATCACATTCTAGTAAAATCTTGCTGACAATTATCCAAAAATGACTGGAACGATAGATACATCGACAGAACTGCCAGAAGTATAAGCTGTGTTAAGAAGAGGCTGTGGCTCTCCCAGATCACTTAATTATGCTCATGGGAAACCTATCCTTAGACCAGGAAGCTGTTGTTTAAACAGAGCAAAGGAAGACTGCATGGTTTAAGATCAAGGAGTGTGTCAGAGATGTGTTCTTTCTCCATATTCTTTCAGTCTATATGTTAAATCCGTCATTCGGGAGGCTGGACTTTATGAGGAAGAATGCAACATCAGAATTGGAGGAAGACTCATCAACAACCTGCTTACGTAGATGACACAACTTTGCTTGCCAAGACTGCTGCAGAGGGCCAAGGACTATAGCCTTCAGTATGGATTGTAGCTCAACATTAACAAAGATACTCAACAACGGGCCAATAGGCAGCATCATAATGGATGGACAAAAGATTGATGTTGTTAACAATTTCATCTTCTTTGGATCCAGTCAGTACCCTTGGTGTTCACAATCAGGATATAAAAAGATGAGTTTCACTTGGAAAATCTGCTTTTAAGAACCTCTCCAGAGTGCTAAAGAGCAATGATGTCGTTCTAGAGATTCAGGTGGGTGCACCTGATCCAGGCTTCTCAATCACTGTTACTCATCTGAGAGCTGGACCATGACTAAGGATGACAGAAGTATCAGCTCTGCCTGTGAGTTGTGGTGCTAGAGAAGAGTATTGAACAGACCATGGATGGCCAAGAAAACACACAGGTCTGTCCTAAGAGGGCATCCAATCAGTTTGTTTATTAAAGGCAAGGATTTTGAAACTCCATGTCACAAACTTTGGGCTTGTTGTCATGAGTGGCCTATCCCTAGAGAAGGAAATTATGCTTGGAGGGGTAGAAGATCAGTACAGGAGAGGAAGACCCTGGAAGAGATTTATTGACACAGTGACTTTGGCAGTGGTGGTCAGGTGTGTCAGAGATGGCAAGCCTGGCTCAGGATAGGGCAAGGTTCAGAGCCATTGCTCACAGGGTTGCTGAGTCGTAGTCTATACGATGGCAGACACACACACACACACACACACACACCTGCCTCGTGATGAAAGTTACAAAGCCAGTAGAGACACACACATACACCCACACCCACACACCCCTGCCTCATGATGAAAGTTACAAAGCCAGTAACTAGAATAGTCATTGTGAATAACCTACAACACTATACTTAATGGCATGGTTAGGTTCCAGGGACCAGTTCATTTATGTGAAAATTGGTGTTATGGAGAAATGGAAGATGGCTATTTCATTACTTAACTGTCAGATTACATCATGAGATAACTACTAAACCTGTGGCCCAGCCAAATTTACACATATCTTTAACCATCACCTTTAGCATTTCTGTACTCTCACATCCTGATTTTCATTACTGAGAGACCTATGTTACTAAAGTGCAAAATAGCTGATTTTTCACTCTTGTCAAATATGAAACGTCAGCAAGACAGTAAGTAAGGACTAGGTGGCTCAAGTTTGAGAAGTGTTTTCTGTTTATTGCTTCTATTGAATAAGCAGCTCTGATGGTACGATATGTTGTTAACTGAAAGGTCAGTAGTTCATATCCAGTAGCTGCTCTGAAGAAAGATGAAATAGTCTTCTATAAATATTATAGCTTTAGAAACTGAGACGTTTTGCCCAAGTTAGAATCAACTTGAGAGCAGTGGATTTTGGATTCAGTGGGCTTATTTGCATTTTTGTGGAACAGCAGGTGGGATGTCTAGTGCTGTGCATGTTTCCTGTGCCCAGAGGTTCACTCAGAAGAGGAGCTGACAGTGAGTGGGATTTGGGTTGGCTGATATTTTTTGAGCTTGCTTAACTTTCAGGATTTTTTTTTTTAAAACCTCTCTCAATTTCTTGCTTTGTCAGCATATTTATGTACTT